TTTTTTGTCCTTTCCTATTTGTTTTTGGCTACATTAAAGCATTTTTTTGAAAATATACAGTAAGGTTCCATATTACCACCCGATTTTCTCTAAGCCTGCTTTCGGACTTTTTGTACAAAAGCCTTCAAAAACCATACTTATAATTACACTAGCGAAAAATCCAATTAGGAACATTTAAATTACTAGTTACCAGTACTTTTCGCACAAAAAATGTGGGTGTAGTTATGATACCTTGTTTACAATTCACTAAAATGTAATTGGGGGTTCCATAATACCACCTTCTCCTCTATATAATGCAAGTATAAATAAAGAAATTGTTAATATTATTTTTTGTTCTATTTATTTAATTTCAAAATTTCTTCTATGACTACGTAGGCCTGCGGCGAAATTTTTCTTCTTTGGAGAATGTGCCACGAGAGTAAAAAGATTGAAAAACACTAATCCGTACGATTAGTCAAATTACGCCCATAAGTGCGGGCCTAATCTTCATTGGAATCATCAAACATGGATAGAAACGATACCTCGACCCGCACTATTCGTAACAAATCGTGTTCTGGACCAAGTCGAATCGGATTCTTCGTAAGGCTTGGTCGAGACTCGACTCCACGGCTTTCTGTCTGACAGATGTATTTATAAATTTAGCAAATTTCCACGAATACTCACCTTATTATGGCAGTAATCAATAGCATCCACTAAATGATGAAACCATTTGCAAGTTTTTTCTTCATTAATATATTTTTCCTTAGTGATTAAGTCCAGCAAATCTCCTTTATCGGCAAGTTCCATTATTATATATACACTACATTAAATTAATAAATTCATTAAAATTCATTAAATAATTAAAATATATTATAAAATTAAATTACTGTTTTCTACTTACAACTTGGTAGTTTCGATTATTTTAATGAAATTAATAATATTTGGATGTTTAATACATTTTATAATTTGTAATTCACGAAATAAAAATTTAGTTTTAAATCTATGAGAACAATCTTTCTTAGAAATAATCTTTATAGCTACATTTTCTTTACGTTCGATAGAAAATGCCTTTTTTATAGTAGCGAAAGTGCCTTTACCAATAATAGAATCGATCAGGTATCCTTTTTCGTATAAAATATGGCTTTGATTCGGAATCGTAGCTTTCAATTGATTAATTTTCCTCATCGCTTTCGGGTATTGACGTCAATAATCATACGTACAGTACAGAACAATAAAAGTAAACTATCTATAATTTTTATTGTTAAATTGCAGTTTATTACGAAATATTATTAAATAATAAATAAAAAATCAAAAGAGTAATTCTTAATTTATTCATTTTCTTTCTCTTTTTAAAAAGGCTATTCAGAGCGAGAGTCGTGTTTCCGACGAAATTCGAATGCGGATCCATTATTATTATTATTATTATTATATTTTCTAAATTCTTTCCGCTCCGTAGACACTAAGAAGGCCTCTTTTAGTCAGTCCATTACGGGCCGGGTGGTGAGGGAAGGGGCCCGACCACCATCCAAAAATTTCTCAGGTTTTTTCGACCCGTTCGGATTAGATTCCGGGTTCCCCAGTGCGGTAGGCCGACACCTCTACCGTCGACCATTCGGTGTCGCCGATCAACTATTACGAAAGAGCGACGAGTCCGACGTCTTCGCTTTGTGATATTAAAGTGATACTCGCGAGAACTCAATTATCTTTTTAAACATTTAACCATTTGACATTGTAATTTTAATCCATAACTCCGAAGAATCGAACTACAAACGTAAAGTGATATTTTCATAAAAGTTTTTCGAAACCTAAAACCAATTTAATGTAGCATAATAATAATATATTAAATTATATTTAATTATTTTATAAAATAATTTATTATTAAATATAAAANTTTTTAATTAATTTTTATGCGAATTAACTAAGTTTGTTTAATATATAATGATAATGAATTATTAAGAATTAGACATCCTTATTTCTCCTTCTTCATTAATAAAGATTAATGAATGAAGATATTTATTTATATTTTCCTTCCTCTTCTACTGGTAGATATATCAATAGAAAGGAATTTCGTTTGGCTCTAGTAACAACTTATTCTGCTTTAAAATGTTTTTCTGTAATAAATGTCAATTTTAGTAAATATTGATAAATGTTATTTTGTAATAAAATAAAATGCTCATAATTAACTCTCTCCGAATTATTGTAAAAAAGTTTATACTCGTATAGGATATATCTAAGTTGGTGTCCAAAAATGTAGGGATGTGTTCCTGACACCAAAACATTACAAAAAATTCATATGAACATCGGTCCGAAAATCCTTCTTTAGGGAGTTATGAAAGGAATTCCCTGTAGTGACCCCTGATTATGTAAATCACTTCAAACTTGCATATTTACGCACTTACTTCTTTACGGCTGGTCATGGCATTTGTTTTGTTTTGTCTGATTGTCGTTTTTTGTTTTGTGTTATTCGCAGTAACTTCCATAACATTACCGGACTATGTATTCAGTGAGGGAAATGATGGATATGCACTACATGTATGGCCGAGCAGATGGGAATGCGGTAGCGCGTCAACTTTATGCAGAAAGGTACCCTGAGAGGCAGTTACCTTGTGTAAAAATGTTTGCACGACTCCACCAACGCTTGCGAGTGACAGGCGCATTTCAGAGGAGAATTTCAGATGTTGGGAGACCACCAGACGTACGAAGCTGTGCGCTTGAGGAAGGAATTCTTCGTATTGTGGACGAAACCCCATAAACTAATACAAGAAGAATTGCGAGAAGGGAAGGCGAAAGTCCATGACCATCTGGAATATTCTGCATGAAACCCTCCCGTATCCGTATCATCTTCAATGGGTGCAAGGATCAAATGCGGCAGGCTTTCAGTCAATGCATGTTATAGCAGTGTGCTATGTTCACGAATTTCTCAGCATTTACCCTATTTACTGATGAGGCTGGTTTTACGAGTGATGGTATCTTCAATTATCATAACAATCACATTTAGGCTTATGAAAACCCTCATGAGGAACGACAAGACAAGCATCAACAGAGGTTCAGACTCAACGTTCGGGGTGGAGTCATCCATGATCATTTTATTGGCCCTTATTTCTTCCCGCAACGTCTTACCGGACAATCGTATCTACGGTTTCTCTGAAATGAGTTATTTCATTTACTTGTTGATGTAGTACAGTACTTCTAGACGTCATATAACGAATGTGGTTTATACACGATGGTACTCAACCTCACTTTACTCTGAGAGTTTGCCAGTATCTCGGTAACCAATTTCTGAACAGATGGATTGGTCGAGGGGATCCATTGCATGGCCTGCCCGATCGCCAGATTTGAATCGTAAGTATTTTTACCTCTGGGGACATTTAAAATCTTTGGTGTATTCAACTCCTGTAGTTAAAATTAATGTCGATGTTCTGAGGGAGCGTATCCAAAATGGCTTTGACCAAAGTCGAAACACTCCAGGAATTTTCAACAGAGTACGGCAAAGCATGGAACGCAAAGTTAGGGGATGCATCAAAGCAGGAGGAGGTTACTTCGAGCAATTTTTGCAAATCTATGTTGTTAAATGTCTCGCATGTACTGTACCATTAGCAATAAACCCTATAACTTCCTAACGGTTAATTTTCGGACCGATGTTCCTATGAAATTTTTGTAATGTTATAGTGTCAAAAACTACATTTATGGACACCAATTTTGATATACCCTGTATCTGAATGCATTACTTTTAATATAGGCTATACTGTAGTACTACGTCTTACCTTTTTTAACAGGTTAAATAAAACTTGTTAAAAATGTATCCGATTTTCTTAAAATTAAGAGAACATTACGTTTGATTATAAGGACAGACTTAATACTATATTTTATGCCCACCAGTGGCCAAGTGGTCTTTGGTACCACGAACACCGGGAGTTTGTTCGTGGGTTCGCGCCTCGCTCGAACGGGCTGGCCACATGGAGTTTTATGCGTTTTCTCCACGTCTATAACGCCCAAATATGGGCCAGTTTCCCTTAAAAAGACCTCCCGGAAGGCATCCCCTTGGCAGATCGCCCAAGTGTTGCGTTGCCATAACTTAACAACAAACAGTACTATATTTTAAATTAATTATATTATATATAAATATAAATCATATATTAGCAGTTTATAAGACAAAAATTACATACGAACGAAAGAAATTTAATTTTACAGTATACAGATTTTAATAACAATTTATGGAGTGATTTGCAATCTATACAGTGCAGTGTGTAATAGGTCGTTTCTTCTGTTTTTTATCCACAACACCAAAAGTTACTCGGTTTGTCAATGCTGATTTGACTCGCTTCCTTATCTTGTAGATGATTCATGATGGTTTTTGACCTGCGAACGTGTGCTTCCCAATGTTGATCGTAAAAGTTACAAAACCAATCGTGTGTTTTAATTCCTTTCATAAGAATTCTTTCTTTTTCTGGTTTTAGTATTTTTAAAATCAAATCTTTGCAAGTATTCGATATTAAAATAGACTCTAGAAATATCACATTCCCTTTTTTTGCCATATTTATGAAATTTTTTCGATTGGAGAATTCGAAAGGAAAGGTTCCATGAAGCATGACATAAAGTACTATACCCATGCTCCATATATCAGAAAGCTGGGCATTGTATGGAATTTTTTGCAAGATTTCAGGACAGGCGTAAGCAAAACTACCGCAAAATGTTACACTAATATTTTCAGTCTCGTTATTTACGATAGATTCTTTTGCAAATCCGAAATCAGTGATTTTTAAGTTGTCATTTTTGTCCAAAAGAAGATTTTCACATTTTATATCGCGATGAACTATGCCCTAAAATTAAAAGAGAATAAACCGTTAATATAAGTAAAAATAATGTATTTTATTTACCCTATAGATAATAACAAGACATTTTATTCACATCTATCGCGGGATCAAGCAGGTCCAGAATGGAACCATCAGGAGTAAGGAATAAGATTGTATTGTATATCTGGACGGTACCATACCCAAACTGGAACCTAGACCCTTTAGGACAGTTACAATCAATGATAAATAATAGGCCTATATCACAAATCGAGCAAGAGATAAAAAGTAATACTAATTAAAGGTACAAAAATGCAATGGTACAAAAACTGAAGTGAGCATTTTTCAAATGTATTTACAATGAGTAATTAACGCTAAAAGGCATTAATATATTATGAGCTATATCAGTGTTTCTGGAAGTGTGTGCCGCAAAATCTTAAAAAGAGCGTCATTTTTATTTTAACATCATTGTCTGAATATATGTACTGTACAGTGCATTACCATTAATAAGAACGAAGTACACGAAGCATCTTTTTATGACGAATTGAAATTGACATATCCGAATACAGGGACTTTTGCATTCAGGCATCAACACCATTTGAATAAAGACCAAATATCGTTTGCCCGCGGACCACGTGAATCGTCCCTGAATTATCTCAGAAAGTCTAAGTACTGCATTATGTCTCTAGTCTCTCTAGTTCTCTGGCAGTTGTACTGTACAGTACGTGTAGGCGTGCGGCGTATTAGGTTTTTATATATATCGAGTTAATATTATCATAGTAAGCTGCGTTTGTGTTGTAAAGTGAATAATTTAGTATTACGGGATTTATTATGGTACTTAAAATGTATATAGAAATTAAAAATTCTACAAAAACTTTTTTATTGTTATGAAAAACTGAAAGTGATATACGAAAATTTTTAATTAAAAACAAAACTATTGATATCGGTGACAGTAGTTCTGCAGCAACTACAAATATATCCGTTGAAAATAGTAATAATATAGACATCAGTGCCGATGAATCTCAGCCAAAAAGATCGAAAATTACTACAAAAAATATAATGAAGATTACTTAAATTTTGGTTTTACAAACATAAAATTCCCCTTATATTTATATGTTGTATGTGGACGTAAAAAAGCAAACAATGCAATGGTTCCTAGCAAGCTAAAACGCCGTATGGAAGTTCATTAAAATTTGATGTCTAAAGACAAAAGGTATTTTGAACGATTAATGATAAATAGTGCAAACAAATACAAAATGTTATGATTGTTTTAATAACGAACTATGACGGACGGCCGGATGGCCGAGCGGTCATAGGTGGCAACCTAACGCCCTCTAGGACCCGGGATCGAATTCGGACGGGTCGAAAAACTTCCTGGAATTTATTGGAAGGTGGTTCGTCCGGATATGACCCTCACCATCCGACCGCCCCCATTGTGGGGCTGGCCAACCTATAACGGGCTTGCTAAAAGAGACCCTCTTAGTGCCCATAGGGCAGAGAAGAGAGTAAAAATAAATAAATAAACATGAATTGTGGTTTGCAAAACTGGCTTACATAGAACATATATTTGCACATCTTAATATTTTGAATACTAGTTTACAAGGGTGAAACGCAAATATCTTAACATCAATAGACAAGTTAGTTAATTGCACTTTTGATAAAAGAAAATATGCTTATGGATGAATAAACTCGATGAAAATAATTTAGCTATTTTCTAAGATTCCCGAACATTTGAGAAATTTTCTTGCATCAGTGGTGAAAACCATTTAGATTTGCATAAAAAAAACAATGAAAATATATTTGCCATCTATTAAATCGGAAAAATATGACTGGATTCGCAATCCTTTTATTAATGATACATCAAACTGGATTTTTGTCTCGAAGAAGAGGAAAAACTGATTTATTTTCCATTCGATCGAACATTGAAACTCAAACATTCGGAATTTCATTTGGATACTTTTTGGGTTTCGGTCAGAGATGAATATCTAAAGTTATCTAAAAGAGCAATAAATATTTTATTCCGATTTTCAACTCTCACTAACACGAAAAATAAGAAACGATCAAGATTGTAAAATGTCGAAAATGAACTGCGAGTTTCTCTGTCTAAAATAAGACCCGATATAACAGAAATAACAAAATATCGTCAATCACATATTTCACATTGACTGTAATTCTTTATATAAAAGTTCATTCGATTTCTATCAAATATTTGAATAACTTAAAGCTTTGTCGAAGGCATACATTCTTCTTGTAATTATTTATTTATTTACTTTTATATTTTATTTCGGTTGTAAGAATTGTTCGCATAACACAGATAGAGGAGAAGGTGGTATTATGGAACACTGCGGGTATTATGAAACCACCCCATTTCGAACTGATAATAAAGGCGAACTGTAGCGGAATGTGGCTGAACTGAACTAGGCAGACATCCATAGCAAGGGGAAAACCCGTTTTACTTCAGTTAAACGGTTGTCCGTATTTAATCAGCAAATTTGTTTTTTTCAAAATTCACAAGTTTTGAATGCTAAGTGAATTTAATTATTTTTAAAATATAAATCGT